TGAAACCCTCGGGAGAAGTGATCACTGCTCCTCCGCCGCAGCCCCGCGCACTTGAGGCCCCATCGGTGTACATCTCCCACCAATCGTCAAGGTCATTGTTGTCATGGGTCCCGTCCTCGGTGCGCGCGGTGCATTCCGCAATGAAGTCCGCCAGAGCCTGCCCTTTGATCGTCGGCCTCGGCTTGAAATCCACGTCATACTGGCCGATCATCAAGGACCATTTCGTTATCCTTCCGCTTGCCATTGGGTTCCTGAGGACTGTGGCGAGGGGCTGCGTCGTGTAGATAGTCACCGGGTGTGCTTGGAAATACGGTGCCAGGCGCTTGATGGATGCAATCAAGGCGAGGATCGTCTTTTCCATCAGTGTGTACCTCGTCTCGGGACCGTTCAGCGCCTTACTTACAAAGTATATCGGCCGCTGAACGCCTTCCGATTCCTTCAGCAGTACGGCACTTACGGCCAGATCGGCTACTGCCAAGTACATGTACAATCTCTCCCCGGGATCCGCCTTGGTGAGGACGAGCGGGGAGGAGAGATACATCTTGAAATCTTCGAAGGCGGCCTGACACTCCGGGGTCCACTCGAAGGGATTGGCCTTCTTCATGATCTGGAAAAAGGGGATCGCCTTATCAGCTAGTTTGGACAAGAATCTGCTCAGGGCCGCCAGACGCCCGGTGAGTCGCTGTACATCCTTTAGGTTCTTCGGGGCCTCCATGTCCACAATTGCCTTCACTTTCTCCGGGTTAGGCTCGATCCCCCGCTCGCTCATCATGTAGCCGAGGAACTTGCCGCCCCGGACGGCGAAGGCACATTTCTTCGGATTGAGCCTCATGCTGGCCCTTTCCATGATGCCGAAGACCTTTTCCATGTCCTGGACATGGTCCTCCTTTCTCTTGCTTTTTATCAGGATGTCATCCACGTAAGCTTCCATTGACTTTCCAAGTACGTCTTTGAACAACATCCCAATCATCCTCTGAAAAGTAGCCATGGCGTTCCTCAGGCCGAACGGCATGACAATGTAGCAATACACGCCGTCCGCCGTAACGAATGCCGTTTTTTCGGCATCATCGGGGTGCATGAACACCTGATGGTAGCCCCTGAATGCGTCCATGAAGCTGAGCAGCTCGCAGCCTGCTGTCTCATCCACCAGCAGGTCGATCCTCGGGACAGGGTAAGGGTCCATCGGACAAGCTTTGTTGAGGTCCGAGTAATCGACGCACATCCGCCAAGTGTCGCCCTTTGGGGCTAGAACCACGTTGGCCAACCACTCCACGTGGATGACTGGCCGGATATGTTTGATGCTGAGGAGAGTTGCTGTTTCCTTCCTGATGAAATTGCGTCGGTCGGCCGCCATATATCTCTTCTTCTGTTGTATAGGCTTGGCATCCGACCGCACGGCGAGTTTATGGCATATGAGGTTGGGGTCGATGCCCGGCATGTCCTCCGGCCCTCTGGCGAACAAGATCCTGAACCTCCGGAGGACGGCTATGACCCCTGCCCTGATTTCTGGCTCTAGATCCGCACCAATGGACACCTTCCTGTCCGTCGGATCGTCGAGTTCAATTTCCTCCAGCAGAGTTGCTGGTTCCAGATGAGCGTCCAAGTCGGCCTGTTTGGCCTTTTCGGAGATGCTGTTGACCCGAGCCTCCCGCTCGTTGAGCTTCTCCATGGCCTTCGTGTAGCAGGCCCTGGCCATATGAGGGTCCGTACGTGCCACCCCCACTCCCGTGTCGGTGGGGAATTTGATGCATGAATGTCGTACGGAGCATATGGCCCCCAAGTCTTCCAAGCCGGGTCGGCCCAAAATGGCATTGTGGGCGCACTTCAGGCGGACCACGACGAACGTCATGCTGATCCGGGCAGTGTGAGGGCCGTCGCCGACCTCTACCGGTAAAATGATGGTGCCCTCAGCGTCAATGCAATCCCCGGTGAAGCCGGACAGCGGGGTGCGTAGGGGGTGCAGCATGTCCTTCCGGAGCCTCATTCCTTCGAAAGCCTCCCAGTAGAGGACGTTCACACTGCTCCCGGTATCAACGAGGAAGCGACGGACGATAGCATCGTTCACGTCCATGCTGATCACCAGCTCGTCTCTGTGCGGCGCCGGTGACATTGGCAGGTCAGCGGGGCCGAAGGTAATTGCCTCGGCTCTATTGCGCTTGGTGGGGGGTGCTGATACGGAACCCACATAGAGTGACCTCTCAAATTTTTTCCGCTCGGCGGGTGTATCCCCTGTCTCAGCGCCCCCGAAGATCACCTTGATCTCCAATTTCTTCTTCTTGCCCTTCGGGCCGAGGGATCCCTCCGGACGTTTATCTGCACTTCGATAATCCACGTCCTGAGGTTCTGCCTCGCGCCGATCGTCGCGGCGCCATGTCTTGTGCCTTGAGTTCGGCTTCTGCTGGCTGTTTTTGTTCAGCAGCTGGGTGAACTCGCCCAGGTACCCCTGACGGATCAGCTCGTCGATCGCTTTCTTTAATTGGCTGCAATTATCCGTCAGGTGGCCGGTCCTCTGATGGTATTCACAGTAGGCCGATTGGTCGTGCCCCATATGTTTATTCATATCCTGGGGTTCCGTTAGGAGGCCCTTGTCCTTGATGGCCTCAAAGATTTGGCTCACTGGATAGGCCAATGGGACATAGCGGTCGTCCGGCCGTGCTTGAGTATCCCCGGACGGAGCCTTCCAGGGGACCATCGCCCCGTCTGTCCTCTTCTTTTTGTTTGGGGGGGAGGGCCCGGGTCCCGGCCCGGGCCCGAGCCTGTCCGCCATCTTCCGTGGGTGGGCCGCGGGAACTCCGTCCCGCTGCCTGATCTCCTCCTCAATGGAGGCATACTTCTGGGCCCGAGCAAGAACCTCGGTGTAGCTGGTGCCGGGATTCCTCCTTAGGTCCCGGTATAGATCCCCTGTGGCCAGCGCACTGGTGAACATGTTGGTGGCCAGACGTTCGTCCAGATCGTCGACCTGTAGGACCTCGTCCCTCCACCTTACCAGGAACCTAGCCAGCGGTTCGTCCCGCCCTTGTTTGATGTGGGCGAGGGCCGTGACGTCCTTCCTGGGGGTGGTGCTGGCAGCAAACTGCGCCATGAACTGCTGGGAGAGCTGTTCGTATGAGTCGATGGTGCCTGGCCTCAACTGGCCGAACCATTCTTGCGCCGGCCCCCTGAGGGTGCTGAAGAACAATCTGCAGATGGCCTCGTCTGATGCTCCCAGCATGGACAGGTTCCCTTGGTAGCTTATCAGATGGGCCTTGGGATCGCCAGCCCCATTGTACACCAAGTTGCCCGGGGGCCTGCAGTCCCTGGGAATCTCGACGCTCATCACCCGTGGAGTAAAGGGAGATGTGAGGGAGAAAGAGGGTGTGGCCGAGCCAACGTCCGCCCGCCTATTCATCTCGGCTATCTGCCTTTCCATGGCCTCCAACCTTGCATCCTGTGCGGCCCTTCCGGGGGACACAGGGGGCGCGGCTTCGGGGACGGGATTCTGCTGAGCGGCCACAGCATCGTGCGGCCGCCTAAAAATCTGCGCACCTCGCCGTTGGAAACGTCGTCCAACGGTGTTGATCCTCGGGGTCTCGTCTCCCCGCGGGATTTGGCGGGGGACTGATGGTGTGTGAGCCCTGGATGCAGCGATGCTGACTCTGGTTCGCCCTCCCGTTCCACGGGAGCCTGAACCCCCACCTAGCCGCTCGTGGACTGAGGGCCGGTGGTCGCTGGATCCTGTCGTATCGTCATACGACTGCATGCGGCGTATGGGAGAGAGGGGCGTTCGCTGGGTACTCGCAGAGTACACCTGGTCTTGGGCCTCCCGCTCATCTGCCAAGCGACGCATGGTGTCTGCGAGTTCGCGCATGAGGCGAGGATCCTGCCTGGCCTCCAGAGGAATGAGGTCAGTGATACCCCCGTTCCCCCCGGAGGTCCATATTGTTGCGGATAGTTCCGAGTTCTGGCCGCGATTCCGGCGGCTTGATTCCAGACGCTCGGAGAGATCACGCTGGTTGTTGCTTCCTGACATCGTGTTTGCTGTAGGTAGACTTAGTAGCTGTTTGGGAGAGTTTCTGGAAACTTTTTGCTCAGTTTCCCACAGACGGCGCCAGTGTTGAGGTTTATTCCTTCAACCCGTGGACCCAACACGTAAGCCCAAAGGTTTCGAGTGGAGTGAGTGTATGAATGTCTAGCCCAACAACTATTAGATGAATCAGGAGACAACAGTGATAGCAGGCAATGTAAATAGGTATTATTAACTCCGTAATAACTCCCCTAAGTACAATCTACTCGCTAAACAAGGCACGTCGGCCGTTCGTCTTACAAGGCACTTAGAAATGCTGCAAGTAAGAATGCTGAAGCTAGTATGCTAAGAATAGAAAGTTGCCAACCCCTTACAATGAAATAAATGCTTCTATTTATACCCGCCAATGGGCAGGTGGCTGTACTGACGTGGCAGCCTGTGGACCGCTGGTGTCCCAACTACCAAATCTTTAGCATTAAATGCACTTCCCGCCAGAATCTAGGTTTCCCGCCGGAATAGTGGGGACGTTCGTCCACCCGGGAAGTGAGTTGGATTCCTCCAAGTGACCCTTGAGGGATATTGGCTGTTCGTCTCCTGGCCTTGATGGATTCTCACCATGTGGGCTGGGTCTCCTCCGATGACTATGGGCTTGCTCAGGAGACGTTCGTCGTCACCCCTGATGGCCCGTGGCTCCGCTCCTTGTCCCTGCTTAGACGTTCGTCGGGATGAGCCGCTGGGCCTGAGTCCTCCAACACCAGACGTTCGTCCATGCTTAAAGTACATGGGCCTGTGGGCTGGCCTAGTTTCTAGCTGGACGGTCGTCTGGCAAAATGGGTTAGTGGGCCGGACCTCGGCTTGGGCCCTTAACCCAACAACTATTAAACTGCACAATATATTACTTGTCCCCGATATTAAAAGAAACTTACTTTCTGTTTCTCAGCTTTCCCGTGACAATAATGTTTATCTTGAATTTCACCCCCATTGTTGTTTTGTGAAGAATTTGCAGGGGCAGACGTTGCTAAGAGGGACGCTTGAAAATGGTCTGTACCGGTTACCATCATCATGTCAACCCTCCCCTCTTCGTGCCTTCTTTGGTGAACGTACTTCTTTAGAGTGCTGGCATCGCAGATTGGCACATCCCACTGAGCCTATTTTACGTCGTCTAGTGTCTACTTTTTCATTACCTATTACTAGTTCCTCCCTACCTAATATTTGTGATTCTTGTCAGTTAGGGAAAAGTCATCGTCTTCACTTACCTAAGCGGTTGGAATCATCCAAAACCCCTTTTGCTTTAATTCACTCAGATGTTTGGGGCCCTGCCTCTGTCTTATCTCTTAATGGAAATCGTTATTTCGTTTCGTTTATTGATGATTGCACTAAGTATATTTGGATTTATTTTCTTACTAATAAATCTCAAGTATTTTCTGTATTTACATCATTCAAACAAATGATTGAAACCCAATTCTCCACCAAGATCAAAGCCATACAAACAGATTGGGGTGGAGAATTTCGGCCTCTCTCTCCATTTTTGGAAAAACATGGCATTATACACCGTATTTCTTGCCCATACACCCCGGAGCAAAATGGTTCGGCCGAACGCCTAAATCGAACGATCATTGAAAAAGGTCTTTCATTGCTTGCTCATTCCAAATTACCAACTCAATTTTGGGAACATGCATTTCACACTGCAGTTTATGCCTCAAATCGCACCATTACACCTAATCTTAATTTTAAATCTCCATATGAAAGTCTTTACTTCCGTAAACCTGACTATGGGTTTTTAAAATCTTTTGGGTGCTTATGCTTTCCTTTCTTAAGACCTTACAATAGTACCAAACTGGAATTTCGTTCGCTGCCATGTATATTTTTGGGATATAGTTCCAAACACAAAGGATACATTTGTTACCATGTTCCTTCTGCCAAATCCTTTATTGCTCGCCATATTGTCTTTGATGAATCTGTGTTTCCATATGTAACGCATATATCATCTGTCTCTGCTAATCCTACTTCCTCTGTGTCTGTTACCCTTGATACTTTACAGAAAGCGGCATCATTGTGTCCCACAACATCTTGCCCATCATCTTCCCCTGTACTGATCCACCCTCCTGGACAGCCCTCCATTTCAACCAAAATACCACCACTCTCACAAACCCCATTGACTACTGGCAGTATTTCCATTTCCCCAACCACTTCTGCAACTCAAACACACATATCTTCCTCCCCCGAACCACAGCCGGCTACGACCTATCCAGGTGCTCCCTCTTACTTCCGACCCCCTTCGGATTCTCATCATACAATGGTCACCCGTGCTCAAACAGGTACTCTTAAACCCAAAGCTCTCACCTCCTCTAAATATCCATTACCCACTAACCACAATACACTTGTTGAACCTAAATTTTTCTCCCAGGCCACCAAAGATCCCAATTGGCAGCATGCAATGCAGCTTGAATATGATGCTCTTATGCGTAATAAAACCTGGGATCTTGTTCCCAGGCCTTATGGGACTAACATTGTTGGTTGTAAGTGGATTTACAGGATCAAGAAGAATGCTGATGGCACCATTGAGCGCTACAAAGCTCGCCTAGTTGCTAAAGGATTCTTACAAGAAGAAGGAGTTGATTTCTCCGATACTTTCAGCCCCGTAATCAAACCCACTACAATTCGGGTTGTTCTTAGTCTTGCTGTCACTCAGAATTGGCCTCTCCGACAAGTCGATATCAATAATGCTTTCCTCAATGGTGACCTTGCCGAAACAGTTTATATGGACCAACCACAAGGTTTCGTTGCGCGTGACAAACCTACTCACGTTTGTCGCCTCTCCAAGGCCCTGTACGGGCTCAAACAAGCGCCCCGCGCTTGGTTTCACAAGCTTCAGTCATCTCTTCATCGCCATGGTTTCAAAAATTGTATCTCAGACTCCTCATTATTCATCAAGCGGTATGCTAAGGATGTTGTTTATGTTCTAGTCTACGTTGATGACTTAATTATTACTGGATCGAATATCACGTTCATCGATGCATTCGTTCAACACCTCCATACATCCTTCTCCTTAAAGGATTTGGGCCCTCTTCATTACTTCCTTGGGATTGAAGTCCTCCGTAGTCCATCTGGAATTCTTCTCTCCCAAAAGAAGTACATCTGTGATATTCTGGACAGATGTCATATGGCGGGTGCAAAGCCCATATCTTCTCCAGCCGAACCTGCTTCTCGCTTACACCTCGCTGGTGACCCATTTTCGGATCCTCACTTATATAGAAGTATTGTGGGTGCACTCCAATACGTCACTATCACTCGGCCAGAGATTTCCTATGCAGTTAATCGTGTCTGCCAGTTTATGCATCAACCCACCCATACACATTGGTCAGCAGTTAAAAGGATCTTACGCTACCTAAAAGGAACACTATCTGATGGCCTTGCATTTGAAAAAATGCGTGACTCCAGTCTTGTCACATTCACTGATGCTGGCTGGGCGTCTGACCCGGATGACTGCCGCTCCCAGCATGGATTCTCCATCTACTATGGCGGGAACCTTGTCAGTTGGTCATCACGCAAGCAACAAGTTGTATCCCGCTCTAGTACCGAAGCCGAATACCGGGCCATTGCCTTTGCCGCTGCCGAGCTTATATGGATCCGCCAGCTACTCCAGGAGATGGGTACTGCATTCACTCCACCACCTATTATTCTCTGTGACAATCTCAGTGCAACATTCCTCACTGCCAACCCTGTATTTCATCAAAGATCCAAACATATTAAAATCGATTTTCACTTTGTTCGGGAGCAAGTTCAGTCCGGTGAGCTTGTTGTTCGTCATGTCAGGTCCACTGATCAGGTTGCTGATATATTTACCAAGGCTGTCGGCACTGCTCGATTTCAAGCTTTGCGTCGTCGTCTTCTTGTTCGGCCACCTCGCTAAGCTTGCGGGGGGATGTTAAAGATAGAATATTGTATAAATCTTTTTTTTATTCTATTTTGTATTTATCTATAGTTAGAACTGATTTTGTAAATCAGTCTATTTTAGGTCTTGATATGCTTACCTTGTATATTCATATTGTATGACTATATATTTGATTCAATGAGAAAGAAAAAAGGTGAATCATTTCCCATTCTAATTGTCTGGTGCTAACTTTACAAGTTAGAAGTGGACTCCCATGAGGTGCTTAAAGAAATTGAAGGGTTTAGGGTTGTGTCAAAATAAAGTCAATCTATTGTATGTGTAATATCCAAGATCTCAAAAGGATTAATAATATTACTCATACTAACATGGTGCACCTTCATTTATGGGGTTCATCTACTAAGAACTCCACAGTTAAGCGTGTTTGTACAAAAACACTCTTAGGATGGATGACCTGTGTGAAATTTCTCAGAGCGTGCATGAGTGAGGTCAAAGTGTACAATAAAGATTTGTTGGTTTGTGAGAATAGTGTTGTGATCTTCTTGGATATTACGGTTCGCAGAGGTGCACATTTGTGGTCATCGAATGTGAGCATTTGTGATTAAAATAATGTTAAGTTCGAGTGCACATTTTCTAAATTGTGATAGTGCACATTTCTTTTTCTCATAATGCACGATTCCCAAATCCAATGCTCCAGAATCATTCTTATTTCTCTCTGATCCTTAGATCACACTTTCATTTGATCCAAACTTTGTGTGTGTGTTATGAGCCCGTACATAGGTTTTGTTAGTACTAAATGTAGTAGATCTTAATCTCTTGGTCCATTGTTTTGTTGTTGGATACTATAACAACTTCTACAACATTTACCATCTCTAAGCAAAAAGGACTCACCTAAAGCTCATGAAAGTATTCTCATCAACCACAACTTGCCCAATTTTTAATTTTATAATTATTACATCCACAATATATTCATAGACGCATCTTAAAGATAAAAAAATCCAATTTGAGTATAGGGGAGAGTTCAAACAAAAATTGGTGTTCCCATGCAAAGTGTGAACGATTGCACTTTTCGCTAAATGTGGTGCACTATTTCATGTTTCTGTTGCAATTTTTCGCGGTGGCAAAAAACTTTGATTTATTTACAAAACTACCATCGTGTTTTTATCAAATCTAGTGCATTGTTGGTTTATTTTGAGCCATTAGGTTCTGAATTGAATGCACATCGTTCGCATTTTGCATGTGAATGTGTCTTTTTATTTGAACTATCCCATATATATGTTCACACACACTAACACGCAAATGGGGACAAATCAATTAAAATAAGGTCTTGACATGTAAAATGTGAAATATTTACTTTTGTATCACTAACAGGCAATCTTCTATTCAGGTAGTGCATTTTTTCAAGTTTTTAAAAAAATGTGGTGAGAATATTGTAACTAAGCGAACTTGAAAAAGTTCACTATCTGAACCGCAAAAGTGCATCGTAGCGCTGTAAAAGTGCATATTTCATATTCTACACATTGAAATCCTTTATATTTGGTTTGTATTCTATATACATATATACATACATACCTCAGGTGCCATGTACCCAAGAGTGTCAGTCACTCCAGTCATGTCATTAGGATTTAAAGCTTGAACACGGGCAACGCCAAAATCAGCTACTTTTACAGTACATTTACCATCAAGAAGCATGTTTTCTGTTTTCACATCTCTATGGACAATCATTTTGGAATGGAGATAGCTTAACCTTAACCATGAATAGTTTTGAGAAATGAGAACATATTGAAGTATCAATTTGTATGGCAGTATTCTAATATCTTACAAGTTTGTACTTTTGTATTTTTGTGTGTGCTAGATGTGTTGATGTACCACATAATATGATGACTCATTGGATCATACTATTATTAATATTTGTGTGCTCTTTTTGAATAACTTAGTGTGATCATGTTCCCATTTGAGTAGCGATTCTCACTATAATGTTTTACACTTCATGCTAAAAGGACAATCTCGTTGGAGTGATCCAAAATCTTTAAAATGAACTTGTATATTTATCATTAGTGAGTAGTAAATACGTTAACACAAATAAAAAAGAAAAGAAAGGGAAATAAAATTTCACCCCTTTGCAAGATCCAACGCCAACTGAACTACAACTTTAAAAGGTAATTTGTTTCTCCTGTTCTTATAGAGGAATGTTTTTAAGGTTCCGCCTCGAAGATATTCAACAACAAGAGAGCAAACATTAATTGGCACCACAATCTCACCAACATTGGTTTGTATGGTGTATTTTGTTGAGCCCATATCCGCTCCAATTAGCTGCAAAGTAAAATGAAATTAGGTTAAAAAGAAAAAGATGAGTCTTCAACAGTTCATCATCTAAGCCTTTAGTAAACGCGTGACATAAACGTAAATAAATAAATAAAACTCTAATGTGCTATTTTTAGTACAACAGTGCACTATTCTTACAATACGAGTGCATCTTGGATGAATGGATTACAGGGCATTTAGTAATCAAAGATAACAAGAGATGGTGCATGTTTATCATGATTTTATGGAGATTGTGGAATGGAAGGGATGAACTAGTGTGAAAATGGGAGTGAGACAAGGAAGCATGTCGCAAAGCTTAAAGTGGGATGGCAGCGCCCGAGTAGTGATGAGTCAAAGTGAATGTGGGTGCACAATCAACGTGGAAGATTGAATAAGGGCATGTGAATACATTGCTCGAGATGTTCAAGGGAAGCTCCTAGGTGCTACTTGTGCTTCCAATATAGTGGAGTGGTCACTGGAAGAAACAAAGGCTACACGTATTAGGGAGGCAATTATATGGGCAGTTCAAGCAGGATAGGATCAAGTGGACATTGAAATGAATGCATTGATGGTTATTCAAGCATCAAAGAAAGGATTATCTTATCTTGATTTGTGAGTTGATAATTAGATAGTATTAGAAGAGAATCCCAAGTCTCTTTCATTTTATAATAGATCTGCTCATCGTTCAGCTCATACACTTGCTAGGGCGAACATTTTTCAGCCTGATCTTAGTTTTAATCAGGACTCTATCCCCGACTGTGTTGTAAACCAACTTGCGAATGATGTATTTAATGAGAAGGTGAGTTTATCATTAAAAAATGCACCACTCAAAAACATGAAAGTGTGGCATAGATATTAAAATTACATCATTATGTATCATTCACATTTTTGGACTTCAAATGTCACTCCCTAAATCAGCATTATTGACACCGACTCACACATAGGGAAAGAGTGATGATTCACCTTATTAGTAATACAAAAATTTACATGACTACTAACAGAAACGTACATAAGTTACAAGACTAAATCAATATTTTTTTCTAAATTGCCTCTTTTAAAAACACCAGAAAGAGATTGATCGCAAAATATATTAGTTAAATAGAAGTGCCCGCTTTGGACCCTAGGAAGCTAGGCAGCTGCCTAGGACATCACTTTGAGCATGGCACCATTTTCTTTCGAAATTCATACCAATAATCCATATTTTTAGCGATTCTACAATAATAATCCCTACCGAAGATGTCTATATAAATAATCCATACTCATAAACACGTCTACATAGATAGATTAGATTAATCTTTTTGATATTTAATATATAAGGATACAACATTAACTTTGTTCACCATTGTCATACATGTGAGTTTAGTGTTTTTTTTATATCATCACTATAATTATTTTCTTGAAGGATAATAATCTATCTATGAAGGTTTAATCTATCTATGTGGACACACTTACAAGTTTGGATTATTTGTATTGACTTTTTCAGTAGAGATTATTATTGAAGAACCACTAAAAGCACGAAATATTGGTATGGATTTCACCCAAAATAATTACTCTGTAATGAATAGAGTGCAAGGCTCATCTGGGACATTCAATAATAATTTAACATGTTAACAACCAAATCAAATCCTTTTGAGTTTCTTTACTTCGAAAATCAAATCGCCGCTAGTCCTTCACCAACTACCAAGACACCTATTCGGTAATTCAGTAATAACTCCGGTAAGAAGGGATAATTTTCATGTTCTTTTTTCATAGTGAAATCCGAATTAAGCTTCACAAGATTCTAGTTAACACAACAACAATTGTTAAGTTGAGCTAAGTTTTATAATTTTATATATCTGTGCCGAATTACGGAATAGGATTTTCTTTGTAAATTTGTGTTATGAATTTATACTTAAAGTTACTGTTGTTTGAGTCATTCTGAAATTTGATCATTATGGAAACGAGAGCAAGATTATGTGGCTTTTAAGAGAAAATTTAAGGAAAAAAGAAAAAAGAAAAAATGGCAAAAGTAAGAATTTGATGTTTTGATCAGACACTTTCAATTGCGGGTCATATGGATAAGAATGTAAAAAAACCTTCTCCTTTGGTATAAAATAGACTTATTGTCCTAAATAAGATTAAATTGTTCCTGAAATTCCTAAATAGGACTATGTAAATTTTTATTCCCCAAATAGGACAAGAATACCTATTTACCCCTATTTTCTTCACTTTAACTTAATTTCCCTGCTCCCCACATCTCACGATTCTCACACCCTCCCCTGCGGATCTGCGAGATTCTCCCCCTCCCCCTGCGCACTTCTTCTCCCTCTCTTGCACACCTACACATCTTCGTCGCGGAGTCCACCGCCGCCCTCGCAAAATCAGCCGCCGTCTCGAAGTCCACCGCTGCCGAAGCTCGACTTTTCTTCTTTGTAGATCAGGTTCTCTTCTGTGATTGTTCTGGCCCGTTTCTCTTTGTTTGCTACTGAATTCCAAGTTAAAATCTGAAAATGCCATTAAAATGGCATTCTTAGCCTTCAAAAATTTTGTATATTTCTTTGAAAATGCCATTAAAATGGCATTATGATAAAAAAAAACTTGGCATTTACTTCGGAAACGGACAGATCTGCACCTGAGGAGATTAGATTTGCAGCGGATGATGCCAGAATAGCTATGACGATGGCTGGATGTGCAGGGGCAGCGGCCGACGGCCGGCAAAAGCTTGATCTGGACAAAGTGTGCTTATTGTGCAAATATTTGTACGATGCACCTTGACGTTATTTGCATTGCATATTGAGGTTCAAAGTATTGCACATTATAAAGTCATAAAAATAACAGTTGGACATTAAGGTGCAACGAGTTGCACCCTAAAAAGTTGGGTTTTATTACAAAAATGCCACCTTGCCTTTATGTCCTTTGGATCAACTCATCGGACGGTCAAGATGAGTTTGTACTTTGTAAATTAAGAAGGCTTTGTATTTGATCTCTATTATATATATATATATATATATATATATATATATATATATATATATATATATATATATATATATATACTTCCTCCGTTCCCTTTTAATTGCAACAGTCAACATTTCACGTTTGCCAACACACAAGTTTGACCATTAATATCTTTGATTCCTTATTAGTAAAAAATTTAAAAAATTCATATTTTGAAAATTTAGAATGAGAAGAATTTAATAATATTTTTAAAAAAATTAATTTATAATACATTAATGAATAAAATATAGTCCAAGTAGAATATGTGAATAGTGCAAAAAGTCCAATGTTGCGATTAAAAGAGAACGGAGGATAGTATATATTTAGGTTCATGTAAGAACTTAATCTTAGGAGAGGGAAAAAGAATAAATAACAATCGTTAGATTAATCTAGTTTTAGGAAGAATCGCGGAAACACTCTTTGGACTAATATGACATTTTACTATGTTTCCTTATTTTACTCACTCATTGCATCCGTATTACTTCTTCCTATTTTAGTGATGCATTTAATTCTCTGTTCTTATCCATTAGGTAGGATTTATCCTTTTAAATTATTATTCTTTTGTTTTATTTCTTTCTTTCTACTTTTTTACATATTATAATTCTTATAATCCATTAATTAATAGCAATATAAAGTACTATGAGTGCATTTCATTTTCTATTAAATATTGTGCACTTTTAACAACCTTTTATTGCACAGTGTTCTAAAACACGGGGAAAGGCGCCGCCTAGGCCAGCTTAGGCGTGATGCGCCAATTGAACGCCTCGCATTGATTATATGCGTGGAAAAAGGCGTAGAAATTTTGTCAGACTAACCAAGAGAGAATTTATTATTCCCATTGGAGAGGATCTATCACGCTGGCACACAAAGACCCCGAACGTATAAGCAATTAAACACTGCCTATCTATTTATACAGATTTCGGAAGGTGAGATCTGCCACTTCTTCCGGTGTGGGAAATGAATTGAAACGAATAAAGCACAATACTGGGACTTTCCTTTAGGAGATTCGAAGTCTGACTTTGCAAAGATATTAATCCACTTCTTGCTACAACATGAATTAGTTATACAACTTGGGTTTACTATAATTATTTTTTACTATTGTAGTATTGTTATTATTATTATTATTAATTTATTATTATTATTATTTTATCAATCCACTTCTTTTTCAATTCTTGTTTTTTGTAGTAAGTAAACCTATTTTGAGAAACTTATTTCTATTGAAAAGTTGAAATGTGATTTTTATGTGTAATATGATCTAATATTAGATTTACATATTACAATAAAGTAATAAGTTTTTTCTAAAAATATTACTAAAACATTATTGATAAAAATATGACTGAAGTTATTATGAGTATAATATCATGATCTATCACTTAAGTGTAAATTGAACATAAAAGAATCACCGGAAGTTGTTATTATGATCACTACATTAGAATCACATTTTTGTCCATCATCTTTACTTTTAGTTACAAGTATGTCATTATGTCTTAAGTAATAGCTCTAGAAAAATGAAAATAATAAGTAAAAATTTAAAACGCCTTTTAACGCCTAGGCCTCGCCTAAACCCGCCTAGGCTTCAAAGGCTTCGGGCCTGGTCGTGCCTCCTCGACACGCCTTACGCCTTTTAGAACATTGATTGCACATGTTTAAACACGTAAGGTCCATCTTCTCGTTTTTAGTTTACTATTTTTTAGCTTGTGTATTTGTGTGAATGCTTCTTTCATGTTTTATGATACTCATGCACAAATATATGAGATTAATTGCTACATAAACATTTGCATATAAATGCATTTTAATGGAATAACATGTGCATGTCATGAAAGAAAAAGTGCATGTTAATGAGACAAAAAAATTATTTACAAAAATGTATGATATATTACTTGATGCACTTATATGCTCATCACATTGCATTTCATGAAGGTGCAAAGTCTTAATAATTAACTCTAATTCACTTCAATTACACTTTGATGCATAATTATATCTAAAAGGAACATATAGTCCTATGTGAATAACATGTTCATCATTGCACTTTAAAATTCCTGTGGTGCACAATTGTAAATATATTACATTTTAATAGAATAGCATAAAGTAAATTAAACACCAGTGCACTAGTCTATTAGTGCATAAAAATAAAGTGAACGATACAAATTATACATGGGAACATGAAATTAATTAATCGTAATTGAAATTTTGAATTAAAGTGCATGCTATCAACGTTAAAGTGCATATTGACGAAAGTGATTTCATTAAGAAAGGATTTCGTATAAAAAGTAGATTAATTAAACGTAAATAATAGGATGCAAATTGAAAAAAGAAAAGTTTTTATGGATCGGAAATATTTATGGAGATAAGAAATGCTTATCCTATTTCTTAGGAAAACTTCCGAATATAGTGGCACGTGTGAAATCATATTTGAATTTATTTGACATCAATGCCCCTCCTAATTAATGAAATGAGGTCTTTCCTTGTATCATGTACGTTTTTTAATTCACAAATTTGGTCATCCCAGCCGCACGATTGAGAGAATGGAGGGTCCGATCTTGTTCTTTTTTCCTCTCCTAAGAGGGTGTTCTCACCTGAACCATTCCCTATATATATATATATATATATATATATATATATATATATATATATCGTCTATGATAAT